ATTCATGTCCAAATTTATTCATACCCTGAATCAATAGTTGATAACATGGCCTTTACTATTGATAACCTGTTGCAAATGCTTCAAATGCTTTAGGTAATGGTCAATAAGGATCCTGCATGTATTGATGCTAAGTTTTGTCCATTCTTCCTAGGCACACTGTTCCAATTATTTAAAATTTTTAAGTTATCTCTTTTTAATCTCTATTTTCAGTACGCCCCACAAATTCTCAATTAGATTGCGATTGGGACTTTGACTGGCTATTCCATGGCATTGATGTGATAATTCTTGAACCACTTCTTGACTAATTTGATGTGTGCTTCAGATCATTATCCTGCTGAAGAATCCAATCAGGGCCAAGAAGACGTTTCTCAGCATCATGCTTGATGTTATTTTTGATAATATCAAGATATTGTTGTATTTTCATGATTTTGTTTGCTTTAATTGAACTTCTTGGCCCTAGCAAAAACTGTGGGGATTGTATTCTTTGGATTGTGAGCCTCAGCTGTTTTTCTCCGAACGTAAGCAACATTCACATGCCCGAATAATTCTATTTTAGTCTCATCTGTCAACAAAGTCTCGGAGAAAAATGTGGTTGGGAAATCGACACGAGTTTTAGCAAACTTAATACGTGCTTTCACATGCTTTTATGTTAGCAAAGGGGTTTTCCTGGGTCGACAACCCTTTAGTCTTCTTTGCAATGTTTGTTTTGATACCTTCATATCAGAAGCATCCAAAATTGACAGAATTTCCTTGCTAGTGATCCTAGGCTTGCTGCAAATGGCGCATATTATGTTTTTGGCACACCTAGGGGAGATTTTTCCCTTTCTTCATTGACCAACCAAGTTAGTATCTACTGTGTTAATTATGATTTGAATGTTTTATAATGCTCTGTATTGCAGACGTAGGAACATCAAACTTCTTAGATATTGCTTTATATACCAGCCTTTCTTTGTGGGAATTGAAAATTTTCTTTGTCGTATCAGTACTAAGCTCTTTTTCTTTGCCATCTTCAAACTTTCAGCTAAATTTGTGGCTGTTCCCTAATTTGTAGAAAAAATGATATTTTCAAACTTTGCAGAGAAAAATATTACAATGCCTAACAACATCGCATTTTGAAATAAAACTATTGAGTATCTACTACCATTTTCATTGATAGTTCTTCTTAATTATTATGATAAATGATCTGGAATAAGAGGGTATGAATAATTATGAACAGTTAAGTTACTCACAAAATTCAAAATAATTACTATTGAAAGTTATTTCTAAATATTTTCTAGCATTAAATTTCTTGTGCATTATAATGACAACCTTTTCTAGAAGAATAAGTTGTGAATGATCTTTGTTGTTCTTTATAATTTATTATATTCCTGAAGGGGTATGAATAATTTCGGGCACAAGTGTATAAGACATCTCCTGGTCACTTCTGACTTTGCTGCTTATCAGATATAGAACGTAAACCACTGCTATAATACATACCGAATATATATGATGTTGCCATAAGAATTCAGATAAAATTTCTTCTAAAATAAATTTCTAGATTTCTTACCTTTGCCAAATTTCTGTATAAAGAAAAGTCATATGTTATTGATGAATAATTAAATGCATACAGGTACGTATTGGGTATTTTAAGTTTGTTTCTTGTCCCTTGACAAACTATCTGCACAGACTCTTGCATGGCGATGGCCGGGAGTTGCGCCGACACTAGCACAGAAAGAAAAGATTTGGATTGTGTTGTGTCAACTGCGTGGACTAATTCCAAAAACTCATTTATGTGCAGGAAAATTCCCAAAACCTAAATCATACTGAGCATGGGTCAAGTGTTGGTAGATTGAAATTATTTGCGTGCTTTGGATATGAATATTATAGGTGAAATGGTAGTAATTTCTCATTTACAACCAGCACAGCCAGCATTATGCACTAAAGAGCCAAGTTGAAAAATTGGGAAGCCACATGTGAATTGGACTAAAGCAACTTTGAATCTGGCTACTTTCTCCTGTTACTATGGTCTTTTCCCAATTTATTCAGTGAAAAATGAGAAAAAAACGATCTTTTTTCACTGGCTAATTGGAAAATCCTTGTGAAATGCTAGTGAAGGAAGCATCTACTATCTGAATCTAGTTGGGAAAACTCCTACTTTCTTATAAAAGATATTGGCTCTAGTATCATATAATTTGGGTAGGTATGCAATCTTGCAGCTCCAATGTAATGTATTTTTTGTAAGATTAAAGAAATTTGGGTTTACAAATGTGTCGTTTCATGTAATTTTCAACTTCCTCAATTCAATAGCCTCCTGCCAAAATAGCATGCATAATGAGTGAACCCAAACATTTCATTGGTGATAGCATAGGTGCAGTTATGTCAAACTGCATTATAACTGCATTTATTCTTTAACAAAAATGTAAACAATATAGTAGCACGTTTTCAGCTACCTCTAAGTTGAAGGCAAATGTTTATGTTGCTGTTTCTAGGGTAAAATGAGAGAATTGGGACAATACCTACATTGGACTTTGCTAATAAGTTTGCAGCTCATAAATGGCTTTTCATGGCCTGGATATGGTATTCATGGCTTGAAGAAATGGAATCTTGGTATCAAAAATCCTGTTGAGGTTCAGAGTGTAGAGGTTTTCCTCATTAGCTGTGAACTGCAACTGGATTTTTCCCATGTAATTGCACTAAAAAGGATTTATGCTGATCTAGTAGTACCATCAACCGGGGCTACTCGGGACGGGCGGGGTAACTTGGGACAGTCCTCCAACATGGCGTAAAACTGTGTTAGTAGCAAAACTAATTGGAATATTGCAAAACTAAATATAGTGGCATAAACATCAACATTTTTCCTATCTATGTAGTATAAAGGAAGTTCAAAAGTACTACATTTACTAGCTTTGAAAAATTCCTGAAAAAATGGTGAAAAATGATATTTTCAAAAGTTACTTCTGCTAAGGTCTGTAGTAAAAAAATATTTGCCGTATTAAAAAATTTTGCTTAGAAAAAAGTGGCAGACCAGTGTCAGCATGAAAACTTTATTTGCGGAATTTACATACCTCAATCCCCCCAAAAAAATGGCGCCCATTTCCGCACGGCGAGCCTACTCGGGACACCCCCCCGGGGCTATTCGGGACACCCCCAAAAACGCATTTACAGTAGACCCTCAGTTAGCAAAGGCTCCAGTTAAGAAAAAAATTGATTAAAAACAAAGAATATTGATTACATTTACCTTGCTCAGTGAAAAAAATTTCACTTGTCGAAAAATTAGTGCATCTTCAGTCATCACAAAATTGTGCATAGAATGTCATACTATATAGAATTATGCACCAGGCATCATAGAATGAAAAGTAATTGACCTAAACTGTGATTTATTTCTCCAAAACATACCTATGATGGTTGTCACTAAAACATTCCTTTCTGTTTCAGGTATGTTTTTCATGATCTTTTTTTTTTATTGTTAATTCACTTAACCCAATTAAAATGGTGTGAAATTATAAGCCGTCCTGTAAGCTTACAGATACAGAAAAAATGCTAAAAGGCTGCTGATATGAAGCTTGCAGTGGACAAGGTTGTTGTAAATGCTCAATGGCATGTTCATGGATACGGTAATATTGCATCAATAATACGGTGATATCTCATCAATAATATGGTAAATAATGTATATGGTAATATCATATCAATAAAGGAAAAACAAGTAAAAATCACAGAAAATGTCATTTATTCTACCTCTACATCATCTACAATGAAAGAGGAGGACTTCAGAGTACTGTTAGTAATGGATGAGTACACTTGATCTGTACACTCTGGATGCTTCACACGTTTTAAATTAAGTTTCATTTCAAGTGTCCCTTATTACCCTATTCCCAGGGTTAGTTCAGGAGGCTTTTATTTTGCATCTGGCACCTTACAAATAGTATATGGAATTTTTTCAGGGATGCCATACAATAGCCCTCGCAAATACCTTTAAAATAAGCCCAAACTTGTTTATGAAATGTTTCATTGTAAGAAGCTATTAAGGAAAAGCGCTCAAAAACGTTCCTTATAACCCTGTTTGACAGTATAGATTTTAAACTGACAATGGAGCTAGACTTCGAAACCTTTCAATTCCTCAGAAGTAGTAAATATTTTGGCTGGTTTCTTTGCTTTTAAAATTTTGACAAATTTATTAGAACCATGAAATTTAATAATCAAAATTTGTTTGAAATTATATAATGCTCATTCATCCTACAGTGATCATGTGCACAATCTGACCAGATAGTAGCTTTTTGGTCAGTTTTATTATGGATGAATTTCATAGGATTGGATTACATATGTAATCCATGTGATCACTGTATGGTTAATAGAAATTGATATCTACTATATTTCAAGCATACAATATTTGAATAGCAGAGGCAAATATTATAAACCTATATGCCATAAAAATGATGTGTTTTTAAAGCATCTAGTAAGAGTAAAGCATGATGGCTTAACAAATTGAAGATAAATTATTTAAATATGCAAATCAGAACTTGTTATAACTTTTGTGTTTACATTAAATTTTTTTCTAAAGCATAAATGGCTCTCCTGTTACTATAGTAAGCTGCCTGCTTTGCTATTTTGACATTCAGTCGATACAATTTGATTTGTGACTCTTTGCTTCCAGTATGGAACTTTATGCAAATTTTGTCACTGTGATTCAGCCATCATTTAATCATAATTTTAAAAATCCTGTAGCATTAGTGGGAATTTTTTTACTGTTGCAGCATATAGTGGAGTTTATTACAAGAGTAGGTATTGATTCTTCTGGCATCATACTTCTCCCACACAGGGTTTGGGGCTATGAATTAACATTTTCAAGCCAATATATTTGACATTGTGGTTTGACTGGAGTTATGCCTTTGCTATTTGCCTTTACTGTTTGCCTTTGCTGTTTTCCAACTGTCACCATTAAAGAGTTAAGCTACTTTATTCTTCTCCTGTGATAAAAATGAAATAATTCCTTCAGGACCAAATAATATCTTTTCTTTGTTATTGTAACTTTCTATTGTAGCTCTTGCATGGGATGTACTATGCAATGGTGATATATCTGTGACAGCATGACATCCCAATATGATAAAATTTGTGAATGCAATTTATACCTGACGCTTTAAATTTAATACTGTTTCTTATTTTCCTTGATAGATTTAGTATATGAAGAGCAGAATCTTTGAATCACATTTATGTAAGAAGGCCAGTTGATGCTATGTATCTAAGGCATTTTCAGCGTCATTTTCCACTGTTACCAGGAGCTCTAAGCAATAAACTTTGTGCAACTGTTGCACATTATTCTGGAGATGCTGCTGTGGAAGATCTTGTCTTGAGCCCAAGCTGTATTGAACGCTTACAAAGCCTGAACAGGAAAGCTGCAGCAGCCGACCAGGGACGTGCAGCAGCGGACCAGGGTGGTGCAGCAGCAGACCAGGGTGGTGCAGCAGCCGACCAGGGTGGTGCAGCAGCAGACCAGGGTGGTGGTGTCAACAATGCTCCACCACAGTTCCTCAGGATAGTGGTGGAAGGAGGTGGCTGTTCAGGCTTCCAATATAAGTTTAATTTGGAGGATAAGCTGCAACCTGATGACAGGCAAGGGAAACTACGTATTTAATGTAATTTTTGATTATTTGTATAAAAAGTAAAAGTGTTATTGAGAATGTGTCTATATATAAATATTTAGTTACATGGCTCTTTGATAACTGTGCAATATTGAATATTTTTTAAATGAACTCCTAAAATTCATATAATATTTGGTGCCTGTTGTATTGTGCGGTTTTATTCAGCCTGTTGCATCTTTGTTTGAAGCCTGGTTTTGGATTATATTTGAATTTGCATACATAATTTTTGTCAGGTTTTCTGTATGAGCAATGCATAAAAAATATTCAAAAACTGCAAACTGACATAGGTCAAAAATTTAAATTCAATATTATGTCACCAGCCAATCCCTGTTTTATCTGCTGCTCATCTTACACAACCTCCCCAGCAATTGTTAGCACTAGCCATTAGACTAAAATTCATTAAAAATCCCATTGACTAAAATCCAGTGCATCCATCATCCATTTGTTCAAGTGTGGTTCCTACTTCCCAGCTGAACTGCATCTTATTTATATGTTTTAACTGTGTCTACTACATTCAACTTTTCTTTTTAGAAATGTTGCTTCCTACACAATTATTCTTCCTACCTATAATTATTTATACTCATGAAAATATTTTATTTGCAGACGTTTTGGTCCCCCAGACGCCAGTGTGGTGACTGATGAAGTTTCACTGTCGTTCATCAAAGGAGCCACAGTTGAATATCATACGGAGCTCATACGGGCAGCCTTCCGTATTGTCAACAACCCTCAAAGCAAGGCAGGCTGCTCATGTGGTGCATCATTTGCCATCAAAATTTAGTAGAAATATTTTTTTTGTTGAACTATGAAAATCTTCCTAGTTTGCATCTAAATTCGTAAAACGGTTTACCATAAATTGTGCAAATATTAACAAATGGAATACAAATTTAGTAGACGTTTCACATTGACTTATGCAATTTTTCCTAGTTGCCATCAAAGCTTAGAACTTATTTAATACCAAATATTGTCAGAAAGTGTGTCACTATGTTGACAATATGACCCATTAATATTTATGATCACTATGTTGACAATATGACCCATTAATATTTATGATAGCACTTGTGACTGGTTGTGTCTGGATAGAATTGACGAATCTGTCCTGACGCCTCGTCAGTTGTTGTCTTGCCTTGTTCTTAGTTCTTGATGATTATTTATGAATTGCTGCATTTATCATGAATTATCATGAGCACTTCCAATGGTGCGTGCTCTTAAGTCACTATAATGGGGGCGCTTTGTATGGAGATGTACACTGTTCATAAAATTATGATATAAATTAGATAATGGCAATGTTAAGGCAACGTCTCTAGTACGCGGACGCGGTATATGTATAGCTGCATGCTTGCTGCTAATTGATCTGATCTCTTCCAATTATCATTACGATTGTCATGGTTGGATAAATGATTAGTTGGTGAGTAAAACTTATGTTCAATAACTAATTCATATAATGTTCACTAACTAATGCATATAAAAATGAAGCCGCAAAGTTTGAGCTAAATTATTACACGCTCAATATGTTAGAGTGTCAGTTGACATGTTCTCATAGGATATTTGTGGGCATTTTTTATTGTATTATCAGACCATTTGTCTTGGTACAGTCGCTGTTTCTGTTCATTTGTTGGTTAAATGTTGTCAATTTATACTCATGCGCTTTTTCTGCTCTATTCGTTGAGAATCTTTAAATAAATGAATATGCTATATTAGCCACATGAATATGCTAAATATTAGATAAATAAATATGATATGTATTAGCCAAATAAATATGCTATATAATAGCCAAATGAATATGCTATATATTAGCCAAATTCCGGGAAATTTTTCACAGTGAAACACAGGCAATGAAACCTGCCCCCATTCACTGCATGCTTAGTTAGTTTCATTGTTGGATTATCTTGCAGTTGAATATTGTTACTATGTTTATATGAGCCTGCTGAAAGGGCAGCGTATGAACTGTATTATACAGTTCTGTATTGTATAAATGTATTCCCAAAACTTCATGCTGCTGTGAGAAATGTATAATTGTTAATGCGTGTATATTGAATAAATCTATCTGAAATATTTGTATTGTCATATCATTTGTTGCATTAAGAATATTACAATGTTAGCCCCTGAGAATGTTGCCAAGTTTGTTATGAAACTGCTTAGAC